GTCGCTTAGTTAAAGCAATGTGAGGAATATCTGGAAAAATACTGGTTAAGAGGGAGTCTCCTTAAAACCGGTCTACTGCGTTTCGGGTCGGAAAATCAATTTCCTTTAAACTTTGCCCATGAATATATCTTAGTCCAAAAGTAATTGAAACCGCATTAGTTTTTGAAAATATTTCAAAATAAAATTTTTCGGGAGAAAAATCACTTCAGCATCCGGCGGCCAAATTTTTGCAGTGACAAAGAGTGAAAATAGCGCATATTGCCGAGTTCACCACTTCAAAGTTTTGCACTTTCAACGATTTTTTTCACTTCCTAGGATTAAATTGGTCCTTAAATGATGTAAAGCACACAATTTTGGTCCTTCAAAAGCAACTCATCTCTACTAAATATTTTTTGATTTACACCCACTTTGCCGTAGGCGGGAAAGGGTTCAAAAATGCATATTTTCATCCTAGCACTGTGCAAAATCCCCACATGTTCTAAACAAATTGTCTTTTCAGACCAACAAAGGGAATGTCCGAAAACATAGAAACATAAAAATGTGTTGTGATTTTAACGATTTATCGGCACAGCCGATCGACGAAATATGCCTATTTTCTGTTATGACTGTTTACAACACACGATGGAAGGTCTTATTGCAAACCCGCAATAACACATTAATTCAGTCAATGTATCAAGTATTTTAAACTTTTTATGACTTTTGACACAATAGAACATCATTTAGGAAAGGAAACCGTTTAAGCCGAACGCATTAATACTACAGGTGTACCTGTTTACAGGGTTAGTATCTCATGTAAGACCCGCTGGAGTCGTCTTCGCTGTGTACACAAAACTGATATCACATGATAGCGCTTGTCACGCATTCCTATATCTGGAATCGTTACGCCACGAAAACGTACTTTGCTAGTCTGACTAAAATTGAAAGGCAGGAAATTATCTTATCAATAGAGTATTCTATTATATTTATTGCTGTTTCGTTGACGAGCTACAAATCAAGAATCATGCATGCATAGGTGCCTATAGTGCATTAACAACCCGGGGAGGGGGGTGGGGGTACTTGGGTTCAAGTTTGGTAAGGGTTCTAGGGTCCCAGCGGCACATCCCCAACCCCATTATAGTCTATTCTGTGGCCAATTATAGACCCCATCTTAGCCACTTTTGGGCAAATATGTAATTTTCGCGATCCCAAATTAGTCACTATCTATTTTTATGAATTGACCCTTTTTTAGATTGAATGAAGAACACTTTACTTTTCATCTACAGTTCAAACATTCTAGTACGTTTGCTAACCGTAAATATGAAGAACTGTCTCACCCCAAAAATTCATTTGGCACAAGAACCTCGAAATCTCATCTTCTTCAAAAGGTTGTAATGGAATGGTTGTAGAGTGCTCTTGCGTAGTGAAAAAGACTGTTGGAAAAGACGCGAGAAGAAGGAAAACGACTCTACCTCGGTGAGTTTGTACCCAGCATATTAAATTACTCACTTTTCTTCCGCGGGCTCACTGTGAATTCACTGCCCTTCAGGGAAATCGCTGGCTTAATAGGTGCATTTCAGCAATAACGGGACAAGAATTTGAAAATATGGCACTATTAATAATTAACCACTTTTCGTAATAGAGAATGAGTATTCGCGAAGCTCTCGCGAAAGAAAAAATGGTAACCTGTAGACGCGACAAAATTTGGTAATCACGTGATCGTGCGTTCGGCTGTTCCCCCCTTATAACACTGCACTGACGCCGATAACAGAGAAAGAGCTAGAGCGAAAGAGAAAACAACAACAAAAACAAAAAGAAAGGAGACGAAGTTCATTGCGGAAGACAAAAACATGAAAAATTCAAAGCTGCAATGAGAAAATGACAAATGTTAGCGGCCAGCAAGGTTAAAATGAGCGGCAGTGAAAAAAAAATGGAACGTAGGAACATACCTCCCTGTATACGATTTTTCCTCCATAAAACGTGCAACTAGGAAGTTTAACGTACGTTGAAGTCGTACTGAAAAACAATGGCAAAGAAATGTACAAAAAAATGTGCTGCACTGCGTGCAAAGTTTTTTTTCGCTCTTCAGCCCTATTGATTTTTTTTGCATTCTCGTTGCCGTCACCGGTTAGCATTACACGATTTTTATTAATTTTTTTTTTCTGGCGTACAGCTTTGAGTATATTAACAAGTCAGAGCTGCGCTTTTAGCCCTGGCTAAAACTACTAGTGATTATTAGCTAGTGTACAAGATATTAGTCAAACCAGAAACGGAAGGAATAGAGTCAAAATCGATAGCGCTAAACGAGGTAAACCACCATGCCAGTTATAAATACAGGGTAACCTAATTTCAAAGATACAGTATTTGTTCTAGAATAATAGCAAGGGGATGTTTGCTTCCGGGCCACTAGACTGATCACTGTCCCTTTTATTTCTGTAAAATCGTCCAGATGTGCGACCTTCTTGGGTCCGCTGCCCCAAAAGTAGATTTTATAGTCATCCCCAAGCTAAACCCGGTACATTTGAAACGCAGATTGCCACCTGTTAAAGAATGTGCTTGATCCCGACGAATCTACGGAAACATAGAGGACTGTGAACAGTCTAGCGGACCTCCTGCCAGCAAGCACACTCCACCCCTATCCCCAGCCCCACCCTGAGTCGGGGAGCTTGATAAGACCTGAAAACCAATTGTTTTATATATGCTAACCTTAATGGACAGGAGCCTGTTCCTGGAAAACTAAAAAGTTACTATTGTTAATGCACTAGGCACTTATGCATGCATGATTCTTGATTTTGTAGCTTGTCGACGAAAACAGCAATAAATATAATAGAATACTCTATTGATAAGATAATTTCCTGCCTTTCAATTTTAGTCAGACTAGCAAAGTACGTTTTCGTGGCGTAACGATTCCAGATATAGGAATGCGTGACAAGCGCCATCATGTGATATCAGTTTCGTGTACACAGCGAAGACGACTCGATCGGATCAAGCACTGTAAACAGGTACACCTGTAGTATTAATGCGTTCGGCTTAAACGGTTTCCTTTCCTAAATGATGTTCTATTGTTTGAAAAGTCACAAACAGTTTAAAATACTTGATACATTGACTGAATTATTGTGTTATTGTGGCTCTGCATTAAGACCTTCCATCGTGTATTGTAAACAGTCATAACAGAAAATAGGCATATTTCGTCGATCGGCTGTGCCGATAAATCGTTAAAATCACAACACATTTTTATGTTTCTATGTTTTTGGACATTCCCTTTGTTGGTCTGAAAAGACAATTTGTTTAGAACATGTGGGGATTTTGCACAGTGCTAGGATGAAAATATGCATTTTTGAGCCCTTTCCCGCCTACGGCAAAGTGGGTGTAAATCAAAAAATATTTAGTAGAGGTGAGTTGCTTTTGAAGGACCAAAATTGTGTGCTTTACATCATTTAAGGACCAATTTAATCCTAGGAAGTGAAAAAAATCGTTGAAAGTGCAAAACTTTGAAGTGGTGAACTCGGCAACATACGCTATTTTCACTCTTTGTCACTGCAAAAATTTGGCCGCCGGATGCTGAAGTGATTTTTCCCCCGAAAAATTTTATTTTGAAATATTTTCAAAAACTAATGCGGTTTCAATTACTTTTGGACTAAGATATATTCATGGGCAAAGTTTAAAGGAAATTGATTTTCCGACCCGAAACGCAGTGGACCGGTTTTAGGGAGACTCTCTCTTAAAATGTCCAACTTTCCATATGCTGGTCTGAACTGCTTCCTATCAGATAAGGAAAAATACACTTGTACATATTAAGAGCGGCCGTCCGTAAATATCGCCTGGGGGTGTGCAAAATGAAAACATCGAAAATCCCCAAACTTTGTCAGAATATAGGTCTAGGTAAACTATTTCTAGAAAAATAACTTTTAGTTCGATTGGATTTTTATTTTACGTGTACGACGACCGAGTCGGTTCGGCGGCTCTCAGATCAGTTTTCACGGGCTCAAGACCATATATTACTTAAAAATCGTTTAAAAATTAAAGAAGTAAGAAAGTCTGCCTCTGAAAATCTTAATAGAGAGAGCCCTACTTAACCAATAGTTTCGATGTGAAATTTCCTATTCGACAGCAAATCTAATATTTTTCGGATTTTTAATTATTTTACTTATTTTACCACTTTTTGTCAGACATAAAATTGGCAAATTTCAGACACAAAAATCACTACTTGGTATACGGCTTTGAGCCATAACTTACCTTCCGATAGAAAGAGCAAGGTGTCTTCCTCAAATAAATGCAAAGTCTACATTACGAAATGAATAGACACCAGCTACTCCAAATTAACCAATGAAATCTCAGCAACCCAACAATAAATCTATTAACACTGATCTGATTCACTAGTTTTGTTTTTATCGCCCAAGATGCCGTTTACGCCTTGTTATAATGGCAACAACGGAATGGACAATTGGGTCATGACCACAGTGTATGGCTTAAAATTTCTTTTGGAGCAGAATAACTATATATATACCAGAAAAGGATGAATGAGGTAGCTATGGCTTTTTACGGCAATTAATAACGTGTATTGAAATGCATGGTTCGATCTGACACCTAATTTATCATTCACCCAGGTGGATGTGTAGTATGATTTTTTTCTGCTCGTACCCTTCAGTCTTTTCCTAACCGGAGACACACAACCTTAGAAAATTCTCCACCTTTAACATTTAATATAAGCGTAACATTTTTAGTCTTAATAGGAAGCTGAAAATTAAAAGAACGTAAGCTTAATAGACTTACCATTCCTTGATGAGATGTGTTTCATCCACTACAACGCGTTTCAATCTTCTCAGATACACGGCTGATTTGAGCAATTTAAAAAACCTCTTGTTCTCACCGCAGACCTTTAGGTGCATAAACAGGATTCTACAAAGGGGGTTTGTCAAAACACACAAACTCTCACGCTCACCTCCGACTACCACGACCTGTTGTCCCTGAACCATAAAAGACGTCATTCTTCTTTCGTTCAGCTTGGAAATGTGGTCTCGCATTAACGCATTTAATTGCGAGATAACTAACACATATAATCGAACACTCTAGCCAAAACCTGATAAATCAGAGATTTACCAAAACCGGTGGGCAGAACAGCGAGAACATCCGTTCGTTTCAGGACAACGGATTCTACCGCTTGGAGTTGCTCTCTTTTTAATACCTCTAAACCCAGATCTTTCAAGGACATGCCAACTGCTTCAAAATTTTTTTCCTGTATGTTCGGAAGCCATGTTGATTTACTCCGCGCGCGGGAAAACTCGTAAGCACGGGGCACGACATTTTTAAATGCTATAACATTATGAAAGAATAGTTACCGAAAGGGTAGCAGACATAGAATAAGATGGCTAAAATGTACTCTTGTTCTTCAGAAAATGAAGGATAAATTTCATGTAATGTTGCAGTTGCAACTTTCCGAAAACATTTCACATGAAACATTGCCCCTTCACTGTCTCCCACTGCTCTTAATAATGCGCAGAGCAACCGGAACCACAGGATTTCTGCGGTTGAGATTTGAGGTGCCCAGCGTCTTCCATCTTCCAGGCGTTGCCCCGCTGACCAAAAAGTCTGAAGACTCTGGGTACGAGATTGGTGCAGCTCCTGAAAGAGACTAAGTGAGCATGTTCAACTTTCACTTTTGATGAACACGTGGCAACTCTGTTCTCAACCCAAAAGCCAAATAAACAAACCAGATTCGAATAACAGCTGAAACCTGATAGCAGCTGCATTTCATTTTAAGGCGGCAGTGGTAGAGCAAAAATGTAAAAATAGTTTTCTTTTAGTCTGCCGTAAGAGCCTGAATGAACTATTACAAACGCAGCCACCGATGAATCCCTTTGGGTCCTGGACGAAAAACCAAATAAACAATTCACTTTGGAAAAACAGAAAAAAAAACCTAACAGCAGTTGTATTTAATTTTGTGGCGGCAGTACAAGAACAGGACAACATTAAAACTCAACTGAAATTAAAACTGGACTTCAGTTGTCCGCAAGTCTGTCGGTAAACAAATTTCTAGATGTCGCATAAGTTTTCACGCTGTGGTGGGTGAAGAGACTACATGTAGGTTGTTCCGTGAGCGTGCCCAAAAGCGTGATCAGGCAAAAAGCACGGCTTTTGAAATTTATTTCCGAACATTTTACAACACAAACTTCAATCTAGACTTTTACTCGAGCAACTGCCTTGGTTGCCCCTAAACTATGGCTAATATTACGCGACTATGAAAAGCAAACCACTGAGTTTCTTACCTCTACTGCCACAGTCTGTACGGGCGGACGCGCAAATTTTCTCGGATGAATGGGGAAAAGAATTCTTACCAATACGTGTGCATCATTGCTTCCCCCCCACCTTTACCACAACCCTTTTAGAAGTTTATTGCCCATGAAATTTATTGTTCTCTGGTTCTCATTCACGAAACTGTTTGGGTGCATCCAGTTCACAGTTTATGTTTATAGGTCAATCTTTCCCTCTCAAGGAGATTCTACCCAAATGTTAAATTAGGCCGATTTTTGTGTTAGAATATGTTTTCTTCGCAAAATCGGACCGGCAAATCGGTAAGTGTAACTACATGCACCCTTAAGATTATGCATCACAATATCTGATACCCAGATACCTTTACTATAAGTTACATTGTATACTTTTTGTTTCTGAAAAGACCCAAGAATGTTGATAAACTTGTTTAACATCTCCCCCTGTGAGTAACCATTATTTCGTAGTCTACACAAACTGCCCTTTGGGTGTTGTTTTTAATAATGCGGCTAAATGTGCACTAGACGTTAAAACTACAGCAAAGTCACGAGTCTGTCATTAAAATATTCGACAAATCTTATACGTTATTTCTTTTCGGCGAGAAGGAACAATGAACACAGGCGCAAATCACTCGCCATGCTTAAACCATTTTCAGACATTTCATTCACGCTCCATTCAGACACAGTCCAGCTCCTTTCACAGTCCGCAAAAGGAAAAAAAGCTGCATTAAACCTTGCAAAATTATGACTGACATTCAAAACATGAATAAAACTTCAATGAAAGATGTACAACGACAACATTTTTATCAGTTCAAGACAACAAGTCTGATGAGAGTGACTCAAATGTTTCCGTAAACCTTGATTTTTTTGTACTGTGTTTGTTTGTTTGGCGTTTAAAATAGATGAACGAGCCTCGAAACAAGATTTTCGCTGATTATCGTTATTTTTTACCGGCAACCACTACAACTGGGTATTCTCTAAAACCTTTCTCTTTCCATTTGCAAGTAGAAAATTAATTTACGCTAGTGTATATTAAACACGAGGCCGTTGAAATCTTCAGTCTGTGTCTCAAATCTTTTCAAATCTTTAATCAGGGGAACCCAACGAGAATATAGTTCAAAACCACTTAAACATAGCATTGTTAAACGTATTTTAGTATTTAAACGGTAGATATAGGCATATTTTTATCCCCTAAAAATTTTTCATCTGTTCGGATTTCCTAGCTGAAAGTCAAGTGATCCGAAAATTATAGGGATCAAAACTTACCTTTTCGAAAATTTTAGCCAGAAAAAAGGCTCCCGAAAATTCTAGGTGACCTTTTTAGGGTAAAAATCCGTTAAAAATAGGCAATTATACCATTTTTTAGATGTCCGAAAATCCTAGGAGAGGTAGGCAAGCAAGAAATTTTACAGCAAATGTTCCGAGAATTCTAGATCTCAAATCGTCTTCCGAACAGATATTTTTCCGAAAATTGTCGTTGGGTGCCCCTGTTTAATACTGCATGTTATGACATGAAATAATTACGCCTGACTTTTCAAAACTAAAACGAGCCAAAAACTGTAATCATTACGCAGGCTAACCTTATATGTAGTTCCTGAAAGCGATTAAATGAGGTAAAAAACTTTTTCCTGTACTCTGTTGTAAAATCCTGCATGTTCAACTTTCACTTTCGTTGAAATCCCGTTGCGAAGCTTTCCTCAAGCCAAAACAAATAAACAAAACAGGTTCGAATAACAGAAGAATCTTAATAGCACCTGTATTTCATTTTTGGCGGCCGGTGGAAGAACACGAAGACTAAAACTTTGAAATGTTAAAAAGATTTCTCTTATAGTCCTCCGTAAGATCTCGGCATGAACTATCACAAATGCAGCCATCGATAAATCTCTTTGCGGCAATTTCCTCAACGAAAACCCAAAAACAGAAATAGAAACTCATCAGCAGTTGTATTCCATTTTGTGGCGGTAGAATCGGGACAAGAACACGATAATTTTAAAAGTTAACTGAAATGAATGTTGTCGGCAAGTCTGTCAGCAAACAAATTTCTAAATGTCGCGTAAGTTTTCATTCATGAATCAACTTGTCAAAATTTTGACCAAGCAGGGAGGGGGTAGACTAGGCTGTTCCTGGAGTGTTACCAATAACAGGAGGGCATTTTGTATGCGCATGCGTCAATATGGGCTGTTGAGGTGCCACAGAGGCATTTTATGTGAATTGTTTACGTTCAGTACCAGCATTTGCAGGCTGTTTTCTGGAGCTGAATGACGTGTATTGGGTGCTACGTTCCACAGACATGTTCTTTAAGGTATCGAGGTATTTCTACGATAAAAGTGAGTTTATTGTAGCCTCGCTGTCGCCCTTGAGAGGACAGTCTTTCCTTTCGTAAAACAGTGCCTCGAAGACAAGATGGCGGCTGAATGTTCTTACGACCTAACATTTCGTGCACATTTTTTGACCAGGAGGAAAAGGTCAGTATGTTAATTTTTCGTTAAACAATTATCCTACAGACACTTAATTCTTCTCAATAGTGTAACTCTAAAATCGAACTTAATCGTTTCAGGAATACAGTGGTTAATTAAGTGTCCATTCTGCCGTGAAACTGTTTTTCACCCTTTCGCTGGTTTCTTTATCTCGAAATCTTGCCTTTCTCCCCAAATTAAGTTAATGATTAATGAAACTAAGAATACTTCCGCGAATAAATGGCGCTTTGACGAAAGCTGTGAAAAATCGCCTTCTGTAGTAATTTTAGCTTTTTTCACCGGTACGTCTTCGTTGAGAAATAAAATACACGCACTTCAACTATAAATTTAAATCAATATAATGATGCCAGTAAGATTGTGTTTTGAAAGTAAGAATATTCTATCATTTAGTTATACAAAGGAAAAAAATTACAGCAATCAGTTTGAATTTTGATTTTTCCACCTTATTTTGATGGTACACTGTTTGTTTACATTTCATTATGCAAATAAATATAACACTTTGGCGTTTTAAAGAAAATCTAGCCTAACTCCCCAACCCCAAAATAGCACGAAATGAAACGTTATCAATACACCTTTTAAATAAATCCTGGCCTCTGTTGCAAAAAAATTGCATTTATTCGGAAATGATATTATTTGTGGATACTACATTTGTTCATATGCTAATTTGTGAGACATTTAATTCACAAATGATGTTGAATGAGAACAGCTTCTCCTCTGTATTGAACCACATTCTTGTTTAATCCATCAGTTTCTGCTATATAATTCTTCCATGATGTACAACTTACATAAGGGGTTCATCTGGATACAATAAAAAGCTCCCAACAGAAACATCAATAACAGACAAATTCACTCCATCCATTTGTGTAATGTTTGTTGTCGCATACCAGCTCATTTGGGTCCTCTAGAAGTAGCATTTATGTTTTGAGGAAACAGCACTATATGCACCCCTTTAACAAACTTCCTGTCTTATGTTTAAACAGGCTTTGAAGGTGAACAACATCGTCAGTTAGATTTATGGAGTGATGGCCATTCTCTGTTTTGAATGGATCACTACTGTCATCAAATATAGATAAATAACAAGAAATCGATTGTGGAACACAGGAGCTGTTACTGATCAAGAGTCTCTTCAAAATACTGTAGCTTGGGAACGATCTCTGTATCTTTTAGAGTTAAAGAAAAATAAAAGTATTGTTCGTTTTTGTGGGGTATGTGCATTCGTTTTGTCTGCAACTGAGCTTATGAAATGCTCAAGTGCTTATGTAGTACATAATCACTCGTAAT